ACGAATGTTATTTATTATTGTATAAATACATTCAATTTTAAAATCTCGATTGCATATGTAATTGTTGTAGATAATTTAATTACATATACAGAACCGTGCACTTATATTATGTTTAATGAGAATCATTTTTCTTATAAAAATTGTTTATAAATTGTTATATATATTTTGTTTACTTGTTTATGAATTTGTTAATAATTATATTAAATATGGGAAATATTTATCTTATTTATATTATTATAATTAATTAAGAAAAAGTAATTAATAATATTATTTCATTATTTATTTATTAAAAATGACTTCAAAATGACGATATATATGACGATAATATTTCATGACAAACGTTACGTTTATTTTACGTTATTATTTAGTACATTGTCGTCGAATGATGAAAAATGACTTTAAATCATCATCGTAATGACGTTATCTTGTTACTGGGTTGTTAAAACATCTTTTGGTATAATCTTAGAACGTGAAAGAGATGTTTTGGAAAAGGTAGAAAATGTGTCTTTTAGAGTGGTTGCTTGGGAAGGTAATCGTATGTACACTGGAGTAGGGGGCCATCGTAATCGTAATACATGTTCGAATAACATTCGAACAGCGCGTCTTCAAATGTGGATTCATTTGTGTTACGTTCTTGAGCTTTACAGTTACTTTAGTTTAACGTTATTAATCGCGCAAATCGTTCAACTACGTACTGCTCGAATACGTATATTGAAATGAAACGTAATTTTACTATTAGAACGCGCGTATTTTAAAGACTAAGCGTTTCAGTTTGTGAAAAAATGATGTAAACGTAATTTTATACAATAACAATATATGCAAAAGTGCCTATTTCGAATGTTTATGCTTGTGCCTATTTCGAATGTTTATGCTTGTGTGCCTCTGATGAATATCTTACGGACTTGAAGTAGATCATTTATCGGCATTCAATCCGGCGTTCAAATTACGCAATTTGCAAGTCAATACGCAGTCAAATTGAAAATGAACGAAATACATAAATTTGAAAAGAAAGAAATAGTATGCCTCATCTTTATCTCCAAAGTCCAAGTATTCTTCAGTTAATAAATCTCAAACAAGTGATGCAATGAAAACATGTCTTGGAACAAATCGAACATGCGACAAATCGATGGAATGTTGATCATGTCTTTCTTATTTTGTTTCGTAATTACTAGTCGTGGATTTACTCTTCAAGAAGCTTTGGATACCGCTGGATGCTTAGCTCTATGTAGAGACGTAAGTTACCGAAACTTTATAGTGTCATGTATAGAAAGATGTTGATTGAAATATATATTTCTCAACTTCCAATAATAAATTAACTTGGCATATCATACATGCGTCGAATACATTTACTTTTATATCAGACAGATAATAGTATTGAAAAGAAGAAAAAATTGTGATAGCGAACATAAAATTCAGCGAATGTCGTGACAATCAAGATAGAAATGCCAATATGAAAGTCACAGTTGTGAAATAGGTTGTTGAGCAAAATGTTTGGCCAAGTGGAATATCTTAAGTTTATTTTAAAATACATTTGATATTTTCGTCAAGACGATATCTTTAAATAGGGAAAAAAAAGAAAAAATTCGGTTGGTCTTTCGGTTGGTCAGTAATCTCTCTAGTCTTTGTTAAAGAAATTTACTTATAAAGCTACATAGTTACTAGGTAGAAATGAATGTATTTGATATTTATCGATACTGAAGACGTGCTTTAGGTATCTGTTTCGATACACCTGTGTCAATATCGCTGAAAAGTAGCTACATGATCGTGCTTGAATTTACTGTGCGCAAGTAACGCTCACATATTTGTCATTTCTACAGACTTTACAAAAAGAAAATGATTTTCCTATTCTTGACGACGGTGAGATTATGACAATGATAATGTATTCGCAAATAATTGCACGCCAATAGCGAAGATAATAGTATGTTGTGCAAAAAATATTGATCTGCGCGATATTTTAAAAAATGTGCGTACATGCGTATGTGCGCGCGCGCGCGCGCGCGCGTGTGTGTGTGTCAACGCGTAGCCGGCAACTTTAAGCGAAAATGTATCGTGAGCACGTGTATTAGACGCGCGCATCATACATATAACATATGGCTATAGCTATGTAAAAAAAAAAATACCAGGGTAGCAGTCTGCATAATGCATGAAATTGTTTTAAACATGTTTATCTCTTTTTTGCATTGTTTTTACGCTTGTGAAAAGTTTTGCTTGCGAACTAGATTATAAAATTTGCAACCGGAGTCCGAGTTTTTCTTTACTTTTCTTGAATTACAATTTAACGATAAAAGTAATATGAATAATTGTATATATAAATTGTGTATATAAATTGTTACGTCATGTAAGGGATAATCAATTACGGCATGAGCGCGAAAAATCATTGAAACAATATTAGTTTTACATACATATGCTTTTTTTCCGTTTCTTTTCATATCCATGATTGCAAATATGTGTGCAACAATCCAGCAAACTAACAGTAACGTTACAGTGACATTCATATTATATATCAAAATGTAATTTCCCATTCGGCAATATGAATGTAATATAAATATAACATATTGTGCTTAACAATGAGTTGCTCGAATTGCTGAATAGGATATTATAACATTAATGTATAGTTGCTTTGTCTTTATTGGAAATTTTGAATTTCGAAGAGTTTGTATATACTTTTAAGTTTCGCTCGCATGTAAACGAATGTACATTTAACTAAAGATTCACGACCTTTTAGGTTTTTCACGTCACGTCGTGTATGATGTAAAAAGAAGTGGACGATGATACTTCAGTTTATCGTATGCATTTAAAGCATACGTAATAAACTTAGATGAGATAACGAAGCGATCCACGTGCACACGCGCGATACGCGATGCGCGATGACCTTGTACACGCCACATGCCGTACGCCGTATGCTCTATCATCCATGAATATCGTCGAAATCGAATTGATAAACTTAAATCGATTCGATAATCGATCGCAGCGTTGAGCGATTTTTTTCTCTTTCTCGTCATTCGAGCGGCAATCATATTTTACAATAGTAAATAAATATTTCATACGAATATTTGGAGGGGCATTTCCATACTCCAAGGGGCATTTCCAAAATACTCCAAGATACTCCAAGATAATCCGAGGTACCGTCAAAAACGAGTACGTTCGATTTGAATGTGCTGACGACGTAGTAACAACGAGTTAATCGAACCGAGTGATACGCGCTACAATGACGACATACGACTACGATGTACTACTGCATATTACGTACAGTACATATACATATACTACGTACATACGTAGTACTTTTCAATAAGCCGCGACAAACGCGCCTTTTACAAGGTTACAATAATTTTCTTGGTCCGATCTGAACTAATGATGAGATTTATCTATACTCTCATCTCATTGTTATCGTAAATCAAAATTGAATGAGATTTTTTTCTTAGGAGATTTTTTTCTATTAATATTTCAATTAAAATATATTTCGCATACAACACCGATGCGTGGAAAATATTTTAATATGTTCAGGACTAAACGAAAAGTATATTTGTTGAATCAGAACTCTGACTTGTTGGCTTGTGGTTTAGCTCGATTTGTTTATTTCATTCATAATTAACTTCAATTTATTTAAAAAAATTTTGTCTTATACGACAGAATTCTTTATAGAATTTTTGTAGCACTATAAATCTTTCAAAATCTTGCATTTACGGTCGTCGGAATTCGTCTAGGACAAAGTGAGATATGGTATGAATCTGACGTCTCATTTTGTCTGAACTGATTTTTTCTGCTTTAATGAGCAGAACTATTTATTTAACCTATCAGAAACTCTAGAACTATTCAAAAGGAAGCCAGCAGAACTCTCAATAATTTGTGAGTTTCCGCGAAATGAGATGCCAGCTTCAC